TTACTGGCAAGTTACTGGATAATTTGTAAAAAAACACAACTATTGTCATTGACCTCGTGTGTATCGTTAGTTGTGTTTTTTTACAAATTATCCAGTAACTTGCCAGTAACTCTCCAGTAACTTTATTTCTAAGAATTCGCTCTCATAGAAAAAATTTGCAAAAAAGTACGCGAACGCTTTTCCAGTAATAATTTGCAAGTTTCATGAACAGCTGATAAATTGGTTGTTTATTCGNTAAATAGGTTTATTTTGTGAAATTCAACAATAAAAAGCCACAAACAGTTTCCTTATTAGTTTAAATTTCATCCAGCAACATGCGATCAGCTGTTTTTCGTACTGGCAAATTCTTACAAGTAAAAATTTATCCAGTAAAATCCAGTAAAAACTTGCAACTTCAGCTGTCATTTTTCGCTCTCTCAATTTCCCCTACTTTGCAAGTTTTTGCGTACGAAAACGCCAAAACATGAAAATTCGTAAAAACTTTTACTGGATTTTACTGGAAATGAGTAAAAAAACGCAACTGTTGTGTCTTAAGTTTATACAACGATTGCCCAGTGTTTAGTCAGCGTTAAGAATTAAATGGCAGATTATGTTCTTTCCAACATCCAGTTCCGTTACATAATATTTACCTACAAATTTACGGTTTTTATCAGAAGGCAAAAACACACTCGCAGGTATGCTATTTCAATAAAGATCTGAAGAAGAAATGCAAAAATATAGTACTTACAGTCCAATTAGATTGGAGAAATAAAAGAAGAAGAACAATTCTATGCCAAACCTTATCCAAGTAAATCGTCCTATCGGCCGTAGTAGATATTTATTATGTGTAAAGATGTTCAATTAGCATTTTAGTTAAACCTTTGGTAGGCGAGCTGCAACGCTACCAACACGCTCGACGCGTACAAGGTATAGTAGCCGACGTTGTAGAGATTGAGTCCACTCATCCATAACTGTAGCATACCAACATCTTTAATGTTTGGACAATTTTGGCAATGTAAGTCGGCGACATCCATCCATGTAACTTTTTGCGGTCTCACTAGTAGCAGCGCATTCATTGCTGCCCGTAGTCCACTTTGCACTGCACCACCTAAGAAGCCACGATAACAGGTAGCCGCAGCGGCTGATGACGACCATATGATGCGATTCCAGGGCGTGGTGAAGGGCACATGCCCCATCGCGCTTAGTAGGAATGTGTGCTGACTGTAGCTGATTGGCGCTTTCATCTCTTCACCGAAGTGTTGGGCTAAAGCATTCAACACAGTTGCTCGAACCAATGAGTCTATGGCACTATCATGCATCGTCATGCCCACATAAACGCTAGGCCGGTACTCGTGGCCCACTATGAATGGTTCATTTTTTAAGAAATCGCCTGAGTATCCAGCCTTCCGCCAGTGACCATCGGTGTAACACGCTATGAAGCTGGTTACGTATTTCGCGGCATCCGATTTTTGGGTAATCACTTTGCGTATTTCCATGGGTACTGGTGGGGAGATATTTATATGCTGCAAATTGTTCAAGGGAATTGCCAAGATAACAGCTTCAGTTGTATGGACGTGCTGCGCGGAGTCATGCACCTCGACGTAGTCTTTGTAATGGCAGATGGCTTCAACCTGCCGCGAGGGAAGGATTTCTGTGCGTTGCAATGTTTGTGTAAGTTTCTTGATTAGTCGAGCGCTGTCGAATTCCAACAAAGTATTCGGACATTCCAAGTAGCTGAAATGACAGCATTTGAATATACTTGTCTATAAATAAGGACCAAGGTCTTATGTAAATACATACATACATATTCATTATGTTTTGTACGCCACCG